GAGGCCCACCCTGTGTTCTCCATCCTGGGCCTGGTGTCCCTAACACCTAAAGACTCATCTTGCCCCATTCCAAACTTGCCTTCTCCTTATAATGCTGTCAGCTCCAGCCTATCCCATCACCATGCTTGGTCAAAATTTCCCTAGTTAGTACCTCATTCCTGCTAGCCTACTCTTGAAAATTACCTGCCATACTTATTCTCTTGAAACACTTGCTTTTTATCTAACGGTGCTTATGTAAAGCCCTAATTCAAGAGCATCAGGCCTATCTTCTCTCATGGGAAGATTTCAACCAGCAGGTAGCATTATAATGGAAGAATTTCTTATATCATGAGATCCTTTCTATGTCTCTTAGAAGTCTTGTCAAATAAGCAGTCACCTCTTCTGTTTAAATGTCAGCTGGGTCCTGGAAAATGCACCAAGCAGGCCAAGCCCAGTGGCTCACGCCTGTAATCCCAGCACTTTGGGAGGCCGAGGCGGGCGGATCACGAGGTTAGGAGATCGAGACCTTCCTGGCTAACACAGTGAAACCCCGTCTTGACTAAAAACACAAAAAATTAGCCGGGCGTGGTGGCGGGCGCCCGTAGTCCCAGCTACTCGGGAGGCTGAGGCAGGAGAATGGCGTAAACCCGGGAGGCGGAGCTTGCAGTGAGCCGAGATCGCGCCACTGCACTCCAGCCTGGACGACAGAGCAAGACTCCGTCTCAAAAAAAAAAAAAAAAAAAAGCACCAAGCAATGTCTTCACTGCAGAAATTCCTAACTGAAATATAAATGTTTGCCTGACACTTGCGAGGCATGCTGGGGAAGGCTGTATATTTAAAGGCTGTATGTTTAATCCAGAAAATGGTATCAGCAGCCACCACAATTCCTTGAAGCAGTTATCATTACCAAGAGAGCAGCTTTAAGAACTCTTTGTTTGATGGATATCTTGGAGTATCTCAGTTTTGATTAGGATTTAAGGAAAACAACTATTGGCATGGAGCATGTGACGTGAGCCGCTGTGAAGACCACTGCCCAATCTTTTCATTTTCATACTGAGATGGAGTAACAGTCACTAACAGGTGGCCGTTCATGGCCCTCCCACCTTCTTGGGCACTTGAATGTTTCCAGGAGCCCTAACCTGTAAGGAGAGGGAGAACGGGTACTGCAAATACAGAAGAAAACTTTCAGCACAAGCTGCAGAGCTGCTATCCTGGGGGAACTACCCTACTAGGAGGAAGTAACAAGCCAGGAACTTGTGCTGCCACTTGACTGCCTTTCCTCCTCCTCCTCAAACCTGAAGGCCCAAAGTAGAGGAGTGAGGTCTATCCCTGTGAGAGTCTGGGACTCTCTAGAATGATCAAGAGCAAGCAAATTAATAAAAATTGCTTGAATTGTTTTATGTATTTGAGAGGAGCAAGAGTAAGACCCCAAATCCCAGTCTGGGTCTATATGTCTCTATATGTCACATTACTCTGCAACTGGATACCTGTGAGTTGGACATCATGTACTTTGTCATATTTTTTAGTGTGCTCCCTTTGGAAGGAACTGTAGCTACTTCCCCAAGTGTCCAATGGGGTGCTCCATTTTTCACTGAAACAAAAATCAATGTATTTCAAAGTCAAATTGATGCTTCTGATTTTACCACTTAGCATTGTGATGGAGTAAGAAGCCTAATTTCTGCTTCAAATCAAAAGTCAGTCGTTCATTCAACAAATTCTTATGAATTGCTCCTTATAGTTCAAGACCTTTCGGAGAACGCATATGGATAAAAGTGACCTTTCTTTTTTAACAATATAACATAGACCTGAACAGGCCATCTGGGCATGTGACTATAGTAGATTTTAGGCTGCAGCAAGATGTTAGAGGAAAGACCAAGGTTAGACTAGACCTGTACCCATGAGAGTAGCCTCGTGGGAATATTCTATTGAAAGAAATGCTGTAACTCCTATATAACGTGAAATTTGTAAATGAAGACCATTTAATAATGACTTCCTTTGTAGAATATGTGTAGCTTGTGATTAAGACTAATTTTACACGAGCAGAAAAAAAGTATAAAATGCATTTTCCTCTAACCTTAAAAAAAAAAAAAAACTTTGCTAAGATTATTGGGGATTTCCTCTGGCTCTTGGCAAATTATCTACAAAAAAATGAGTTAACACTCTTAGATGTGGACTCTTCCTACTCCACCCTGACTCTATTCCAGCAAAATTCATTCTTCCTTTTCAAAAGGAATGATTCTTTTTTCTTGATGACATAGGTCGGCTTTTCCATCTGTTTAGAGCTATGCCTCGAGATTTAAAGATAGTATAGGGGTTTTTTTCCCCCTTTCTTTTCCAATGCACACTTTTGGAACAAGATGCTGTTCTGTATATAGCATTTATTATTTGTGATTGATGGAGAATTTTTTTCAAGTTTATAATAAAATCCAGAGTCAAGGATCTGCTGCTGGCCACATTTATTGGGCGAGCCCATCCCTTTAGTACTTGGCTCTTGCTCTCTTTGCAAGAGGCAGCAGGGGATGCCTGATATGGGGCCGGATTGGTAGGCAGGAGTCCAGGGTTCTAATTCTGGCAATGCCACTGGCTAGCTCTAGAGCCCTACATAAGTCATCTGACTACACTTGGCCTCAGCTATCTCAGCTTTAAAATGAAGAGCTTGGTCTATAATCTCTAAACTCTCCTCTATCTCTAGAACTCAGGATGCTGTACTCCATATGTAAGATCACTTTGGGAATTGCCTTGTGGCTCACTGCAGGCTGTATGTGTGGAAGTCTTGGCTGTGATTCAAGTCTGTGACTTTCTTGCTTCGTGGTTTGCATCACTTAGACCATGTCTATGCCTCCCCGCCCTTTGTGTCAAACACTGGATCTGCGTAAGATGAGGCAACACTGACCTTATTGGTGAACAGATTACTCCTTCTACAGGTTTGAAAAAGCCCAGCAAATCCCAAAGGGCCCATGCCTGCAGGAGAAACTGACATTCAAAGAATAATCTGTACTTTTTTTTTTAAGATAGCAAATTATGAGTTGAACAATGAGAACACGTGGACACAGGGAGGGGAACATCATACTCTGGGGCCTGTCGGTGGGTTAGGGGTTAGGGGAGGGGTAGCATTAGGAGAAATACTTAATGCAGATGACGGGTTGATGGGTGCAGCAAACCACCATGGCACATGTATATCTGTGTAACAAACCTGCACGTTCTGCACACATATCCCAGAACTTAAAGTACAATAAATAAAAAGAAATGAAAAAAAGTATATTAAAGAATCAATAATATAAAATTTTGCTGTAAAAAGCTATCACTTAAGGGAGCCCCAAATAATCTTCAAGTTACTTTTCAGTTTAAGAGATACAGACCTTCTAATTTCAACTTGACCACACACTATGGACTAAATGATTACCTTTAATTTTGTGAGACGGTTTTTAAGATCTGAGTTTTCACTTTCCTATTTGATTGCAGCAAAATCACAAAATTAAACTAGGTAACATAATTATAGGTAGCAAAATACTATATATTTCTTGTATAGCTGTATACATTTCTTATTATGCAAGAGAATAATAAAGTGAAAAAAGTATACAAATTGGATTTTCCCTGTTCTCTTTCCAAGCATTTTAAAAGAGATTTTTAATCCATGAAATTCCTTCCTTGGCATTTTATTCCCCTTAGGGAAAAAACTATATATATATATATAAAATTTCCGAAATGAATCATTCAGGATTTGTTTTTCTTAACAGGATTTTGGGATTCAAAGCTGTATATTATAGTAATAGAATAAAAGGCTGAAAGTAACTTCAATCATATACAGAATATGGGGCAGGTATGGCCAGATTGTTCTATTAGAACTCCCCAGGCTCATCCATGGTAGTCCTTGCCTGTGTCCTCTAATATCACATAGCCCCATTTTGATGTCAGTTTCAACCATCTGATGGTTGGCCCCCTCCTAATCTCAGTCATTTCAGTGAATTTAAAAAGACAATGTGGCTACTGACCTAAATAACTACAGTTTTTCACATAGGAATGCTTTTTTTTTCCCCCCCATTTTTTTCTTTTCCTGTGCCCCTTGTGAACATCTATGAATGTATATTTTTATGAAGACAAGGCTGGACTGAAAACTATTGACTATTTGCAGATTAAAATTGTATTTTTTATAAAATGTTCATTGGGGCATTTCTATTCCTAGACTAATATAGTAAAACTTAAAGGTCAAGCTAGTTGTAATTATTCTACCTTATTGAACTGTTTTTGAATTGATTGAAATCAGAACATTACAAAGAGACATGGGTAAATCACCATAAAATTGGAATAATTTTTATTGCATATTCACAAGTTAAATTGTTCTTTGTAATATTAGTGCTCCAAAAGGTTGAGAGGCCCAACATGTCTGAAACATCATCAATCTCAAATAATATTTATTTTATTTTATTTTATTTTATTTTTGAGATAGAGTCTCACTCTCTTACCCAGGCTAGAGTGCAGTGGCACGACCTCAGCTCACTGCAACCTCCTCCTCCCAGGTTCAAGTGATTCTCCTGACTCAACCTCACAAGTAGCTGGGATAACAGGTGCCCACCACCCCACACCTGGCTAATTTTTGTATTTTTGACAGAGACGAGATTTCACCATGTTGGCCTGGCTGGTCATGAACTCCTGACCTTAAGTGATCCACCTGCTTCGGCCTCCCAAAGTATTAGGATTACGGGTGTGAGCCACTGCACCTGGCCCTCAAATAGTATTTGATTTAACAAAATGTTAATGTAGCAAAACTTGAGCTATCACTTGGAATTGATAGGACTCCAAAAAGATTTACCTTTATTAGTCAGAAATCAGAGACAAAACCCCAGAGGGTATACAGTTCAAGCCTTTCCTTTCACAGATGAGAAAATTGAGATTTAGGAACATTAAGTCAGTTAACCATGATTACACTGCTAATCAAAAACAGACCTGGGTCTGCCAAAGTAAGTCTCCCATATCTGAGTAATCTTCAGTTTGAAAAAAAAAAAAAAAAGCCTTACAAATTCTAGCACTTTAAAATTTATTGCACACATAACATGGTGAAGTTCTTTTGTGTAGGACTCTGTGCTCATCACAGGGGTGTGGTACGGAGATGTAGCACGTAGTCTCCTAGGGACATAATCATGAATACAAAGCCATCAATCCTGACATCTCAAATAATACTTTACGTCTAGAAGAAGAAGAAGGACGTTCTCACATTAATCTTTTTTATGTGTGATGGATCAGGGGAGGTATTTTGAATCTTTACATGTTTTAAATTCCCGTAACTTAATATTTGCTGTAGTTCATATATTTAATGAAGTAAGAAACTATATTTTACAAACCACCTTAACTTCTCATTTGCAATACACCCTTGTGACAATGGAGAATCTGCTTACATTTTGTTGCTGTTTAATTATTTTACTTTCAAGCAGGGGTCAGCAAATTTTTTTCTGTAAAAGACTGGATAGTAACTACATTAGACTTTGTGGGCCATATGGTATGTTTCATGATCAACTCTGCTATTTTTACAAAAACAGGTGGTGGACTGGATTTGGCCCATGGACCATAGTTTGCCTTTTAGAGCATGAAATTCAGAGATAGCATTGCCTCACTTCCTTCACTTCACCAGAGAAAAGTTGGCAAAAGCTAAAGTGACGGATGAAGGTCTTACCCTGTTAGCTAGATGATCAAATTAGAGAAACTGGGTTTATTGATAACAGATCTCTTGTCTGTATTCATAGTCCACACATGAAGTCATGGTTCTCTATTTTCAACATAACAGCTGTGCACTATGGAAACAATTAGTGTTATGAATCCAATGTGACCACTTCAGGTTGGAGAACAGAGGCATTCTCAGGCTTATGAAGTGGATCGTGCTTTCATTTAGGTCTCCTAGGATCAACGTACGGGGAAACCTAAGCTAGTCACAGAACTGGGCCTGATTCATGGACTGTTTGGGGCTCATCTTTGCCCTTGGTTGAAGTCCTCCCTTAAAGCATTCATGCTTTTCACATCTTTCTACAATAAAGGAAAGATCATTATTGGATCAAATGTCCAAATAATGGACATTTTATCATTTGTAAAAATCATCTAAAACATGAATTGAGCAGGCTGAGGACAAGGATTTTGTTTTATCCCCAGCTGTGGCATTTTGGCAAATCACGTCACAATCTAGCCTCTGCTGACCTCATCTGTTACAATCCCCAAGGCCACCACCAACACACCACCACACACTAACACACTAACACACACACGTCTGTTACGATCCCCAAGGCCACCATTAACACACCATGATTCCATTCTTCAGAGCACCCAGATTAATGCCTGGTACACAGAAGTTTCTCAATAAACTTTGTTTAAATTAATGATATATAAACTCAGTCCTTTCCTTACTAAAACCCCTTCTGATGGTTAATTGAATTCTTCCTCTGTTATTTGTTTTGTTTTGTTTTATTCGGAGTAAAGGCTGTCCATGTTTTCACATCATTGCTGTAACAAATTTAATAGGATGTACTTTGGTTTAGCAATAATTGGCCATTCTGGAGGGCATCTATTAAAACTATAGAGTTGATTTTCTTTTATAAACACTGATATTTAAATAAACTGGAATGTTTAATGGTTTGAATGGCCCAAAATTTTGTCACAACATCCATAAGGTTTCTAAATTTTCTTAGTCCTTGAGGCAGATGGGACTTGAGAAAGATGGCATTTGAGATGAGTTAGGGTCATGGCCCCTCATGTGGATTTACCTTAGATTCATGATTCTGCTAGTTCAGATGTCCAAGGTTTGAACTCTTACTGAAAAGAGTTGGCTTATGTGTGGAAGGAGAGTTGGGTATGGAAAGGGAGCAGCAAAGGTTCAATAAGAAGGCTCCACTCGAAAGTTCTCTCTGATCACTTCACTTATACTATTAGAACTTAAATAATGCAATTTGGTTTTCCTTATTAATACAAAACTTTATCATGACATAAGAAACTTCTTCATTCTTTATGTGTCTTTACACTTCAATAGGAACTAGCTCTTCAGATCTTTTCCAATCAAAGCTTTAAAGAAGAGAGACTGGTACAACCAGTGAGGGCAGAAGCCAGAATTTGGGGGAAATATGCAGAAATTACAAACAGGAGGATGCCAAAATTTTTGTCTATAGAATTTTACCCCCTGGGACCAACTTTGGAAGTTTGCTGGGATGCTGTTTGGTTAATTGAGATTTCTGGGCTGTTGGGTGCCTCTTGTGTGCCAGGACCCATGCATTAGAAATACTAAAGTGAAGAAAAATGGACAATTGTGACTTCAGGTAGCTTACATTCTAGTGAGGCAAAAAGAGGTTAAACACATAATAGTGAAGTGGCTACACTGTCTGGTGTATATACCCTGGAGTTCGTTATTGCGTGCCAGGAAAATTTAGGACATGGGACACATACAAGTTTAGAAGCAGAGGTTTAATAAGCAGAAGAGAAAGAGCAACAGCGCTCTCCGTAGAGAGAGGGGTCTCTGAGCAGAAAGGACCCGCTGGCGGGGATGCCCCGGAATATATAGTCCAATTTGAGGAAGTGGTGTCTGATTTACGCAGGGCTCACATATTAGTTTGATCAGGTATGACATTTACATAGCGTCTGAGGAAGGCTGGTCCCCCAACCCTAATCTTATTATGCAAATGGCTTTCCAGTTGATCGGCGCCATCTTGTCTGCTCTTTACTGTACAAGTGACTGACAAAGAAAGAGAAGATGGAGCCGCCATCTTGAACATACCTAGTCCATAGTTCCTGCTGGCATTCAACCAGGCAAGCTCCAACCTTGCAGGCTGTTTTTTGCTAGAAAAGGACTTGGGGCTGCTTTTCATCAAAAGGAAAAGTCTTACCTAGGACTCCCATACCCTTATTATCTGCCCAAGTGATTTCTTCTTAACTCCTGTATTAATAGTATAGTAAATGAATAATGCAAACTAAGATGAATGTATTTGTGAAGGAGGGCTAAAAACAGAGAAACCAACTGGAGCCTGGGATGTCAGAGGAGGCTTTTATAAGAAAGGAACTCTTGAATCAAGTCTGAAGGATGAGTGAGTGTTAACTAACTGAGGACTTTCAGGGCTGGTTAGTGAATGACTTCACGGGAGTGAAATCAGGGCCTCCCTGGGAGAGGGATCAACTCTGAACAGACACCCTACTGTGGATGGAGCAGGTAAGTGGGTGGAAATAACAGCTACCCAGTGCTACTGGAGCACAGCAACTAAGCAGAGAGGGCTTAGAGATGAACCTGGAGAGAAAAAGAAACGGGGGCTAACTCATACATTGGAGAGTCAACTACATCGAAATTATTAGTCACCATCTGGGAACAATGGAAACTGTTGAAATGTCCTAAACATGAGCTATATGTTCTGAATTATTTTTTAAAAAGACGTCTCTGGTTACCAACGTAGAGTCTATCATAGTAGCTGAAGTAAGAGATAGTGGTAGCTTGGACTACTCATGCTTACTAGTAGTAATTTAGTGGTGATAAGTAAAAAAGGAATAAATGTGTAAGATATAAAGAAGGTGAAAATATACAGATTTGACAATCAGATATTTGAGGAGAAAAGAAGAAAGCATCAAAGATGACTCCTGGGTTTCTAGCCTACACATATAGTGAGCATTGAAAAATGTAGTGGTTGAGAATGTGAATCATAACTTTGCCTTTGTTCAAATCCCAACCCTGCCACTTAGTAATAGTGTGATCTTGGGCCAATTGCTTAACCACTGTAAGCCTCCATTTCTCATCTTGGAAATGTAGGTGGAGATGATGCTAGTAGCCACATCATAGTTATAAAAAAGATTAAATGGGTTAACATATATATACAGTACCTGACCCAGAATCAGTATTACCAGTGGTTAGTTTTCAGCATCACTACATGAGTGATGGTTATTTCCTGTACTAGAAAAGAGTCAGACAGAGGGCTAAAAATTATGACTTCAGTGTTAGATTTATTGAGTCTAAGGTGCCTTTGAGACTTCTTAGTGAACAGTGCTGTGTAGGCTGTTTCATATAAGAGTCTAGAACTCAGGGATTAGGTCTGCACTAGGGCTACAAATTTAGGAGCCGTCAATGTATAAGTGATAGTTCAAGTCATGAAAATCAATGTAATCACCAAAAAATGTTTCAGAATGAGTCCCAAGGTCCTCCACTATATAATGAACAGGTAGATGAGTTTGAGCTTACAGAGACACAGAAATGAGCAGTCAGAGAAGTGGGAGAATATTTGAAGAAGGAGGATGTAGTCAACAGTGTTGAATGCTAATCTTTAAGTAAAAATGAGGAGTATCTAGTGAATCTAGTAAAGTCACTGCTGACCTTACAGGGAGTGTTTTGTTTGTGTAATTGACACAGAAGCTATTTCATAGTGGACTGAAGGGAGAAGGAAATAGAAGGAGAGAAGAGGGAGCAAGAGCTGAAAGAGCATGTAAGGTCAGATGAGGACAATGTTTTGTTACTGTTGTTTTTTAAGATAAGCGAGATTTGAGTGTTTTAACTGTCAAAGATAAGGACCAAGTTGAAAGAAACTCATTGAATAGTGCAATTTTCCTAAGGAAAAAAGGAGAATCACTAAGATGTAGAGTATAGACAGAGTAATTAGATAAAGGGACAGCCAATTCCTGTTATGCAGAACAAGAAAGGAGAGGGATGGGTGTTGACGTAGACAGGTTTATAGCTTCAAAAGTGGGAATTTGAGGGAGTTTCTGTTCAGTGAGTTCAATTTTCTGTTGAAGAGAGAGTCTGCCAAGTGAGGAGACAGAAGTCAGAAGAAAGGGCTAAACTTTGACAAGTTATGGGAGAAGATGAGAATGGCTTGGCAAAAGGAATGAGGACCCACTTGAGATTAATGACCACGAATTTATACTTATACCATCTTCTCTACCATGTGATGTTTTCTAGAAGAGTTTGCCACTTAGAGGCAGGTGCCATGAAAGGAGATTATTGGGCTCATCCACAGTTGAGATATCTCTAGAAGGATGTGACAGGAAAAAAGTAAGCTACGCATTTGGAGGTTTGGCAAGAAGATTATTGCAGTGATGGGCCCTGGAATCTAATCATGTACCATGGAAGAGGCTGCTAGTTTGGGAGGAAGTAAAAAACATCCATGAAGGCTATTTTTCAATGATGTCTAAGAGTGTGGAGAAAGTAGTTTAACAAGCAGGAAGAGGCTGTGGTTAAAG